ACAACACAATACTAATATAACGTAAAGGCATGTAACAGAGTGGTTGCAAGAAAATTAGTTTCACTTCTTCTATTTTTTCTGACTGCTGCGGCGTAAATCCTCGCGCGGCGTATATACCGGGTTTACCTTAGTCTGTCAGTGTTAAAGGTAGATAATGAATACGCGCTCGCGGCTCCCGTTTTGATATGTAAAAGGAACATCAGTTAAATGAAACCCCGGCCGATGTAATCAGAGCGCTGACTTAGTGCGCTGATTCAAGTTTGTTAAGTATATTTACATTCGAAGCGAGTGTAAATATAGCTGGTGAAACGGGAACACACATGTTTCTTCGCTTTTTTACAAAATTATTCGTAGCTCTTGAGGTTTCCCTCTAAAAACAAACGTGTCTGGCTGTATTTGCGCATACATATTTATGCAAACGTCGATAATTTGCCGATGCGCTCTCGCAGCTGCAATAACGCCGGTTCATCTCGACTGATTTGCGAACTGCTTTATCAAAGAAAAATTAATCTCCGGAAAGTCGGTAATATTTGTAAGTTTCTGACTGAACGTGCCGTAATCAAATAAGTTCCCGTTCGTTTTTTTTTTTCTGAATGAACCTCGCGTTCCAGACATTTGAATTCAATCGTTAGTCACTGGCAAAGTTTCTCTTTTAGTAAAATTTGAAAGAATTAAAATTGCTGCGCGTTGCTCTTCGATTTGATAGGGATGGCAAGTTGATCACATTGATAGCATTTAATACTTTTATTATCGAAACAGCAGAAATATCGAATTTATTTTCAGGTGCGATTTCTATATTTTATAATATTAGTAATATTTGTTACACTATTGAAAATTTTTATCTTTCCATCGGATGCTTTACGTAATGTTCTATTTCCCTGCTTTTCCTAGATAAGGAAAATAGACTGTCGCAAGTAACGTTGCTGACGATGCCAGACATTTCCGTAAACAGGTAGAGGAATCGATAAAGATACGCTAAATTTGTCCCATGTTCTGATTTTCTCTAGTTTTACGTAACATTTTCACACGTGAACGGATCGCTAGCATACGTTATATTTTAGATAACATCTTTCGAGTCATGAATATATTTTACACGTTTTTGAAGTCATTTATTACATTTTATATGTAATATACTTTTTTATAAAAAATAATGGTTAAAGTACATTTTTAAATCATCATTGATTATTTGACTCTGAAGAAAGATAATTGTTAGGGCAGAGTCGATTATAATTTTTTAAATTTATTTTCTTATTTCAATACACACTTGTATATTTGCATAAAGTGTGCAATAATAACAAGTTAATCGAAATCTGCAAATTAATTAAACGAAAGAAACAGCAACATGCTGATATAAGAAAAAAAATGTAATACTAATGATATAAAATGTGAAAAAAGATAGACAACTCGCACGTAAGTGGATTGCAAGGTAGCTTGCGAATGCATCCCCAAAGTATTCGAGAATTGCGCGCGTTTTCAGTCTCCCCAAGGTACCAGCCAAACGAAATATTTGTCGATGCGCCAGGGAGTAGCGAAAGGAGAATCTGCCGAAACTCGTTTTTCAAGCATAATCGGGTCAGGAATAAATCGAATCAATAG